GAGATCCAAACAGAAGCCTGAGCTCTTATCTCAGAAGACGGCAATATATCACTTTACCTTAGTCTTTGTATGAGAACTGCTTAAGTAATTTAAGGGTGGGGGTATTTATTTTTTGTTTTGTTTTTTGTCAGAGTCGTATGAAACAACTGTTAAAGTTTAAGTTAAAGGGGTTCACATTTATGTTCAGCTTTGTTCAGACATGATCAGATAAACCTCGACTCAGCAAACTGCAGACAGAATGAGATGGAAAGGCAGCTGAGTGGAGTGGGCAAGGCCGAAAAAAGTAAATTACTACTTGTTAAATAAAAAAAATAAAATACAGTTATTAATAATAATTATTAGGTTTCACGTAGGTTTAACAATTTCCTGAGTTAGTACCTGGCTTATTGATGTTTTACTATAATTAAAAATGTCCAAATTGTTGTTGGGAAGTGACAGGTAATGATTGATGATGTGAAAATGCAGTACCGAGTAATGAGCACAAAATTGCTTTATTATATCCAGTCAAGTAATTGACTGTGTTTTGTTTTGCTTTTCTTAGCTCCTTCCTTTAAGTGAACTTTCTTCTGATTGGCTACTCGATATTCACCCTCTTTGACGTCACACAGATGGAGAGCTGAAAAATTGTTGCAAAGAGAGCTTTTTGATTCTGTTTACAAACACAGACCTCCTCGTTTAAAATCAGCATCCCCCACTGTGACTGTATGTGTACTCTATAGTTATCAGAAAATGGAAAACGGCACACATTTGAGACTTGAGAGAAAGGATATTTGAATCTAAATGAGAGAACAGCTTCTGTGTGCGAGCAACACTTTGAGTGACTGGTGCCAAAACATAATAAATGTAGTCTTCGCACTAATATAAATCTTTGACTTATTTTTTTCTGTCATTTCAAAGTGATGTATGAGATTTGGAACTCCCCCCCCCTTTTTTTTTTTTTTTTTTTCTTTCTCAGCAGACGACAAAAGGGGCCCACATCTTGAATTTCCAAGTTCAGTTGTTTTGTTTTTACACTGAAGGCCTGGCTAGCTAAAGCTGCGACTGGAGTTCTTCTGCGCACATACACACATCGAGGAGAGGTTGAGTTTTTGCTGCTAATCACTCTCATATGTGGAGGGGCTCGCTGGAAGGCGTGTTGTTTTATCTCACGTCGTCATCTGCGGGTACGGCAGCGAGCATGTGTTCCTGGTTAACACGTATCCACAGAGACAAGGTTAAAGTCTCTGAGAACTGGACAAGACCGTCCCTTTTATAAATGGGCACTTTTACAGTGGAGTACAAAAGTGTCTGCCCCCTTCCTGATTTCCATTTTTTTATGTGTCACACTTAAATGTTTCAGATCATCAAACAAATTTAAATATTAGACAAAGATAACACAAGTAAACAAAAAAAAAAAGCATTTTCTAAGTGAATGTGTTTGATATTAATTGGGGGGAAAAATCCAAACCTACCCTGTGTGAAAAAGTGGTTTCTCCCTAAACCTAATAACTGGTTAGAGTCACCCTAAGCAGTTTTACAGCGCCACAGAGGAATTTTGGCCCTCTCATCTTTGCAGAATTGTTGTAATTCAGCCACATTGGAGGGCTTTTGAACCACATGCCACAGCATCTCAATCTGATTCAGGTCAGGGCTTTGACTAGGCCACTCAAAAGTCTTCTATTTGTTTTTCTTGGTGGACCTGCTGATGTGTTTTGGATCATTGTCCTGCTATAGAACCCTAGTGCGCTTCACACGAATAAGAACAGATGGCCGGATATTCTCCTTCTGGATGTTTTGGTAGACAGCAGAGCTCATGGTTCCATTTATCACAGCAAGTCTTCCAGGTCCCAAGGCACAAAACAGCCCCTGACCATCACACTACCACCTCCATACTTTACCGTTGGTATGATGTTCCTTTTGTGAAATGCTGTTACTTTTATACCGGATGTAATGGGACACAGACCTTCCAAAAAGTTAAACTTGTCACTCCACAGAATATTTTCCCAAAAGTCTTGGGGATCATCAAGATGTTTTTTGGAAAAACTGACAATGAGTATTCAAGGAGAAAACCACTGGTCAACAGCAGTTTTCTCCTTGAACTCTCCCATGGATCATGCCATGATGTGTTCCTTTTCTTTTTTTTTTTTTTTTAAACATCTTTTAGCCTTTCTGTACTTTGTCAAACAAGTTCTGTTTAATGATTTCTTGATTCAACACCTCTGCCAATAAATAGGCCTAAGTGTGTTTAATGAAACTGAACTCTGCTTAAAAAAAGGTTAATCACAGTTAATTCACGATTTAACAAGAGGGGCAATTACTTTTTCACACAGGACCCACTAGGTTTGGGAAACGTTTCTCTCTTGATCAATGAAACCATCATTTAAAAACTGCATTTTGCATTTAATTGCGTTATCTTTGTCTAACATAAAAAACAGTTTGATAATCTAAAACATGTAAGTCTGACAAATATGCACAACACATGGAAATCAAGAAGGGAGGAAAACACGTTTTCACACCACTTTATCCTGTGTGTGTGCTGAGGATGGATATGCACATGCATGAGTTGTATGTAGTCAATCGAGTCAGTTAGCTTGAAGACTCAAGTGGATTAAGAGCTTAGAAACACACTTCTCCAGAGCTTTACTCACAAACGCCTTACGTTCCCTTCACAGGATTGGGGAGACTTAATCTCTGATTTATTCTCTTGTTTTCCAGCTCCACATTAACCCTTATTGCCAAGAAAAGTATCACTTTGTACAAGGTATTGGAATTGTATATTTTAGAAAGATGGGCCAAAACACTGCAGCTCATACAGCTCGTCTATGAGCTTGCCAGATTATCTTTCCGCTGCTTTTAATGCAGGGACATCTGTGAATCTAACACATTTTGATTTTTGAACTTAAACAGTGGACAAAAAAACCCCATAAACTGCTTCTTATTCAGTAATTTTCTAATTGATCTAATCTGTCTCCCTTGAACAAGTCAGTATGTAGACATCTTGACCTTTCAGTGGATTTTTGCAAGCATGTAGCTAGTAGCTTTATGCACTGGTGCAAGGAACACAACACAGAGAGAGACTAATATTCCATTCTCTGCTTGGATGTCGGTGTACGTTGCCTCCTGCATGCTCTGTCCAGCTTCCTTACCTAAACCACATGCAGTATTTCCATTAGTGAGCACACGGCCGGGGCGTGCTGCTTCCTGCTGCGTGCTACAAAAGAAAGGGAAACTGTGGAAAATATCCCAACTTGATTCCCCCAAAAGTTGTCATGTGTAAAAATGGCAGAAGAAATAGTGTGGGGGTGGGGAATGGAGGAAAAAAAAAAAAGACAAATGTAAAAGCAAGAAACTGAGATTTTTATTTATTTTATTTTTTTAAATAAGAAAGGAATGGTTATGATGATTTTTTTTTTTTTAAGGTTCTTTTACTGTTTTTGTTTGTTTTCTAATGAGGCAGAAATAAGATGGTTGGGGCAAAGGTCTCTGACTCATGAAAACTGATCCCAGGAGAGCTGCGTGCAGCAGGAGTGTGAAGACGTCAAGCTGTCTGTGTGTCGGCACAATGTGCTGTGCAGTAAATACCCTTAAAGAGCCCTATCATCCACTTGTTTGGTGTTTTAATGCCAGCTACATGTTAACAGTGATTGTAAGGGATCAGGGTGACGTTAATGACAGCAGTTCCGTCTCTCTTTGTGTAGGCGCGTAGATGTGTGTTACAGGATGTCAGTGCGCCGACATCCCGCTTAAACCTGCTGTGGAACATTCTTCATCCGGATGTCGTTACCGCTGTAGACAAACTGCCATTTAGGGCTGCTCTGTGTCACAGTTGAGGCTTCATTGCATTTTATTAAAACTAAATTTGCCTTCACATCTGCTTATAGATCCTCGGTGTTTACATGCCACAAAACTAATCACAGCCTGGACCAACATTAGTTTTGTGGTGGAACATCACTGACACGAGCCTCAGGTCGTTATAAAATAAATTAACTGTACCAAAATGTATACTTCCCACCACATCTTGCTTTTACTGAACCTTTTAATATTTAATAGCTACATTCATAGCACCTCTACACCTATTATTTAGGTCTGTTTCATTGGAACCACAGAGTGACATTTTGAAAATGTCACTTCTTTGGTCAAATTGAAACTGTCCTTTTACAAAGGCCGGTGGGACTCGAGAGACAAAACCCATCCCTGTTTGGCCTCTCGGTTTCACGGAGGGATTTTGGCAATGGTGAAACAGTATGTTGTGCCAGGGAAAGTAGCCTGTGTGTCCTTTCCCAAAGCACAAACAAAATGGGACAAGTCCCATGAGAACTCGGATTAAAGACTGTAGCAAAACAAAGAGTGAGTGTACATGGAGATAACAGGCAGCCGTGTGAGTTTCTACATGTAACACACAAGAAAGAAAAGACGGATTGACGTAAATGTGTCGGCAGCATAGGAAAAGTGGATTTGCAGCACCTGCATCACGGTGCCGAGCTTTTCCATGTCGGGGGTTCAGGGAGAGGCTACACCTGAATGCATCGCTCCCGCTGCGGTCTGGAACATTCCTCTGGGCTTCAGTAATGACTCCTAATGGCACTAATGAGCCTCCACAGAGAAGCCCTGCTCCACATGAGTCTGGTAGAAAGGAGGGAGGGAGAGAGGGGAGAAAAGGTAAACCTCAGAATTGTAAGAAAGATGGAGTTGGATGTGGACGAGTGAAATGGAGAGCTGAGATCTAGAGATCTGTGGGAATGGGGAAGGCGAGTGAGAAAATATGGGAAAACTTGAACAAAGAAGTAAACAAAGAAAAGAGTGAATGTGTCAGGAAAAAATATTCCCAGTGTCCAAGGGAATAGCTTAGCAGAAGGATGGATAGATGTCGACAGTTTGGAGCAACAGATTCATATTATTTAAGAATTCACATTGTTTTAACCTTCTTATTTCTATATAAAGTTCAAAAATACCCATTTTATCTCATTTTCTTCCTGTCCTCCTTGTTTCTTCTACTTTGTCTTCCATGTGTGCTGTTGGAGGTGACTTATCCATGGGTGAGCTCCAGGATCCCTTCCTTGTCAGCATCCACCTCATTGCTGACCCCGGCGAGGGCAAGTTCCTGCAGCATGCTGCCGACGCCGTGCTGGCGTGGGTTCACCCTGAACTGCAGCTCTTCAGGGTCTCAGAGCGAGCCTCCGTCTCTCAGCGACCTCGGGCAAAGCGGCATCAAAATGGAAGCCCAGCTTCAGCCTGCCAGCCAGCCCTGGCGGTCATCCTATTCCTCCAGGAGGCCTACGGCGGTGATGAGCACATACTGATGCTGCATCGCGCTCTGCAGCGGCCGCCCTGGCACTACCACCATACTGAAAAAGTCAGCAATGGCCGGCGGATGCTACCGTTGACCCCATGCAGTCAGGACTTTTTCACTCTGTCTCCTGGCACGCCGCTCTGGGCCGTGCGGCAGGTCCATTATGGGAAGGAAATCGTGCGTTTCACAGTCTATTGCCGCCATGAAAACTATGTTGATATGGTGCGGCTGTACAAGCTGCTGCTTCAGCGGAGGGTTGCACAAAAGAAGGATGACTTTTGCTTCTTTGTGGTGTACTCCAACCCTGATATGGAGATCCAGCTGTCCTTTAAGAGACTCCCACGAGGCCACAGTCCCCTGGTGTTGGACTCGGCAGTAATGGAGGTGAGGGTCCGGGACGTCGGAGTGCTGGTGCCCCTGCTGCCACACCCTTGCAGCCCAATCAGTGAGGTGCGCTGGCAAACGGAGGACTACGATGGAAATAAGATCCTACTGCAGGTAAGCGTTTTTCATTCTGGTTTTGTTTTTTTTTGTTTTTTTAAATATATATGTGACTTAAAATTTCCTGCCCACATCAGCTTAAATACGCATTTTTCTATCTCATTAAGGACCACTTTATTTACATAGTCACAGTTGCTGCACATCTGCAAACCACTTTGCTACCCGCCTTCACTTCACTCTTTTGTGCTGCATGGGTATTGATAAATGTTACATCGATCTCTTAATGATGCCTGCTGTGGTCTTTGCTGGGGGTCTTGCAGCTGCTGAGTCAGTCTCCACTAAATATGCATCTGGGACGGTGGGGAGGTGTCACAATGGAGGCATGGTGAAATCCTGCAAATGGGAACTTCTTACTCTTCTTTTGAATATAGTGGCCCTCACTGAACTGTAACTTTAACATAGGAAAAGTACAACTCAACACAATTGCATGGTGTGATTTATTTTGAAAGAGTGTGTTATGTTTTTATACCTGCAGATACACCAAAACCTACACGAGTAATTTCAGTTTAATCTGATGAAATGAGGCAAGTTAATAATTAGTTGTTGGAACCAGCTGGTCTCATGTAAAAGGATTTGTTGTTGCTCAACTCCTGAAACATGATGCTAAGGAGCGATTCACAAGTCTTTCCTTTGTGTACGACTGTATGCTATTAAAAGAGTAAAAATAAAGAAAGAAAGATGAAAAACACACTGAAAATGGGCTTGGGCGTGCAGCAGTGTTTGGAATCTGTGTTTAATTGTGTAAAAGAGAAGCAGACAAAAGTGGCAGTTTTATAGGTGGAAGAAAAAGAAGAGCAGTTCAGACTGATTCTCAATCCAGAAATAACAAGATCATACAGCAGACAAGAAGGATTCAGTTATTTTATTGTAGGTCCTTAATTTAATTCCTCCATCTTTCCATATTGAAAGGTGCTGGAAAAGCCTGTGTGGGTTTGAATATAAACACCCACATAAAGACTGACATGAATCAAGCGGCCCTTGTTGGAAAGGTATCACCTATCGGGGGATATGTGCCCAGGCGGTCGGAGATAAGTAGTGTTGAAAGTTCAAGCCGATTAAGCTTCAGTCCATTACTGGGATTGGAACGGCACAGAGAGAAACAATAAGCTAATAAATCATGACAATGGGCCATATGCATGATGCTTAGCTGCCACCTGGAATCAAGTCACATGGACCTCCACATTGCAGCGACTACAATACATTAAATATATTAAATGTAGGCAAGTGAAACAGAGGCACAGTGATATGAAAGGAATAAGTTATCTCCCAAAACATCAACTACATTCTGTAAAAACACTCTTTGTACAGATAAGCAGAGAGGGAGTGTTTTTATTCACAGAAAGTTGTGCACAGTGTATGTATATTTTGTCAGGCTGGGATAATGGCAACACCCAGCTCCCAACAAGAAAACACAAGCCTCTTGGGAACCTGGAGCTACAGATGCAGCTGTAACGTTTCAGTATATAATAAATACTCTGACGTGTTAGAGTAATAGTGAAAATCTGTCAAACTTATTTCTGTCTATTTTTGTTTTCTTTCATTGGCTCGCTAATAAAAATCACCACATGCATCTAGTGCTGTGTAAAAGTCTCAAGCCACCCCTCAGTTCTTTATACTTTGCTGGGAAAATTGGAAATATGTGCAAAAATTTACTGAAATGTGTAAACAAATATGGAAATGCAGTATATAAGGCAACAGCAGTTTGTACATGTACGTGAATATTACTCCAGGCTTCTTGAAGGACATTCAAAGCTCTTGTTTGGAATTTGGCTGCTTTTTGTTCCGTCCTCTGTCAAGATGATCCCGCACTGCTTCAGAAATGGTGAAGTCTGAACTCTATGGAGGTCAATCCATGACTGAGAGTATTCCATTCAGTGTTTTTCTAACCAGGTTTGCGTTTGCTGCATTGGCAGTGTGTTTGGGATCACTGCCATGGTGAAAAATGAAGCCACGGATGGCTGTAGATACTCACCTCTCTTCTGACCTCCACCATACATACTGATGACAGGATGAACCAAAGTTTTAAAAATTAAGATTCCTCACTCCATCAGACCAGTTACCACAGATTTTTTTCCCAGTCCAGTTCTTGTGTAATTTGACATACCTCAGCTTTTACTCCCCATTTCCCTTCCTTAACTTCTTGACAGCCAAACTTCCACTGAGACCATTTCTGATGAGGCTTCAGTGATGAGATTTCTTTCCTCTTTTAATAAGCACAGGACTTTCAGAGACTGTTTATCTGCTGTAGATAATGTTTTGGCCTCCCGATTCTGCAAAACAAAATGTTTTTGAAAGTATACTCAAAATCACTTGTTTCAAAATTGTTTATTTTTTGTGTTTTTTATCTTTGGTGTTTTTCATAGGTTGAAATACAGAAATGGGAACAAATTATGTTTTTGTGACGGCTGCTTGGTAACAAAGGGCCTAAAGATACTATTTAAAACTGCTTCTTTGTTAAGGTGTCTGTTATGCATGGATACAACACTGGTTCGTCACTTGAGTTAAGTGCCTTTTTTTATACTTAGATGATTCATAGGTCAGTGTTGAGTGGGTTATCAACCAAAAAAAACTTCCTCTGAAAATGGTCAGGTACAAGGCTACAATGGCTCCTCAGAAGCAAAATATAAAGAAATGAGGGCTGGTTTCAGACTTTGCACAGCACTGTATTAATTTCTCTCTTTATTTTTATCCATATGATGCAACATATGTTTGTTGCGTTCATTGAGAGACAGTAGCATAGCATAGCAAATAGAATTTTCGGCATCAATTTGTTACTAAATTACAAATTCTTATAATATTTAATGCATTAACAAAACCTGCTTTGGATGACTATTGACTGGACACTTCAAAGCACTAAGTGCTCCATAGGAGATGCTTTTCCATATTCATATGAAATTAATATGAATTTTTATTAAAGGAACAAATTCTCCAGCTCATTAAATGTTTCTGTTGATCAACTGGAGTTTTTATAACCATGCCAGCTTCAAAAATGCTCCAGCTTTCTAGTAAATTTAGCCTCCAGAATGCTGCAAGTCTGGAAAAGAAATCGTCCTTTCTTATAATCGGATTCTGTTTTCTTCATGGTCTGAGGAACAGGAACATAAAATGGTTCCCTATTTGATCATCTAGAGCGTCATCTCAGTAATGCAGTTTTGAAAACCACAGTCACACTGCCACACATAAGCAAAAGCTCATCATGTGAAGAGTTTTGTTTATAAACATAAATACAGTCCAAATGTGTTGCTTTCCACAGCATTGTTGAGGATTAGTGTCCCGTTGTCGTGGTTTTGCCTTCCTGAGGTCATATATCCGGCTGACCTGGCTTATCCCAGATAACTAAAGCTTACTAGAGTTAGGGTCTGATAATCACCATGTCAACAGCCTCATTACCCAGCGTCCTGCTGTGGCTCCTCACTGGCATTTTGTCCTCACAGAAAGCTGAACTCGTGCTGTCATGTATTAATAGTAGACAGAGGATTGAAACTTTCACCCACGCATGGACAGAAAATAGTTTTAGTAAATAACGAGTGTGTGCAGCTGATCTGCGCACTGAGACTCGTTTGGCATCAGCCACAAACGAAGAATGAACAACTGCTGTGAGATCTACTTAAAAAATTAAAAAAATACTTCTTAGAGCCTCACATCTATCTGTCAAATGTTTAAGCAATGAGAGAATCACAACAAATGACTAAAGGCCAAACAATGAAGCTAATGTTACATTTTTATCCAATGTCCGGATGGAAAAAGGAAATTGTGGAAGCTTTGGGATTAATATGAACCTAGTGAACACAAAATGAGTGCAGGTTATTGTGTTTCTATGTCACTATTTGTGCTACAGTGCAGTCTAAACTCTTTTACTGTCAGCATTCACTGATGGTACCTAGTAAAGCTCGATAGATTACGCTGACAGAGAATGTAGCTGGTCCTCCACCTTTGTCTCAGTCGGTGCTTTAGTGAAGGAATAAATGGGCATCATGCAAGGAAAAGGTGACGCCACTGCTTGAGAGCAGAAGCAGACCAAGAAAAACAAAGAGAAGAAGAGTAAGGAAAAGATAAACAGGATGAAGTGGACTGAGAGCAGAGAGCAGGATGGAGACAAAGGAGAGAGATGGTTTATAAAAGAGTCAACTTTGAGACACTGAGCAGGGAGAGAAGAAAACACAGGGGGCTTTGTTACACTTTTTATACACACACACATACGCACCTTTAGTCTTGTGAGGACCCTCTTTGCCATAAACCTGATCTCAAAACCCTGGATTACAGCTTTTTGTCTCATAAAGACTTTCAAAATAAAACCCTTCCTCAGTTCAAAGAGTAATTTTACTAAACCGAGTTGCATCAGTAAAACTCCAGAATGTTACAGCTAATAAAATATGTAGTTTTTAGTGTTGGATAACATTTACAGTTCTCTCCAGTTTACAGGAACCAGCCCTGCAAGCAGCACGTCACTGTTGCGAAGTATGTGTGTTACTTCCAAACATTACAGTTTCAGAGATGCAAATACAGATGCTCGTGTTATGTAACTGTAATTTTTGTTTTATTATCTCAAGAAATGCTGCCTGCATGCTTTGAACTGAGCAGAATTTTTGCATTATAATTATGCTGCAATAACATATTGTCTGAAACTACCATCTAAATGACATCAAGGCTCATTTTTCTATCTTCTGTTGTCCAGTATGTTGAGTCTTTCTGAACTATAGCCTCAGTTTCCTGTTGTTTGCTGACAGGAGTGTCATTCAGTCGGTTCCTCTGCTCATCAGCAGCTTCGAGGTTTGATGTAATGTGCATTCAGAGATGCTTATCAGCACGAAGCAGTCTTGTCATTCTCCTCTGACCTCTTGCATCAACGAGACATGATCCATATCACTGGATATTTTCCTTTTTTCTGACCATCTGTTTAAACCCTAGATGTGTTTGTGGGGGAAATCTCAAATCACCAGTTTTCAAAATACTTGGACTTCCCTGTTCAATCACTCAAATCACCAAATCATCCACATTCTGATGGCCTGTTAAAACTTCAGCAGGTTGCCTTAATAGTGTCTGCATGCCTGAATGCGTTGAGTTGCTGCCATGTACCCAATAATAAAGTGACTGGTGAGTGAATATTTGCTGTACTGGATTCAACCTATCATTATCAGACAGAGTATTTATAGATGTTAGAAATAGAGACTTAGTGATTTCTTGAACAGACTGTAGATTGTTGTGAGGAAGCTGTAAATCACTTTGAACTTCTTTTTATATATTTATTGTTCAACATATGGAAATGTGCAGATTCCCCTCAGTCCCTGTGCTGCTTCAGAAGATTGTCTGGGGGCTGCTGTGTGGGAAGTTATTGCTTCTGTCTGTATTGTCTTGTTGGAAAGTCGGATGACAGAGCTGACAAGAGAACAGAAACATGGAGAAACTATCAGCAGAGAGCTGTGGATTTCAATATATACAGAGGAGGAAATCATAGACGAGAACCTGCTGCTGCAGCTGCCTTACATGTTTAAAGCAACAGCAGTCACTGTATGTCAGAACAGGGGAGTGTTGCTTCATGTGTTTCCTGCTTCTCATAATTTCCTTTTTGGATTTGTAATATTTCATCGATTTGTCTGAACAGCGCACTCTGATTTTAAGATGCTTTACATCCTGATATATGTACACAGGGGGTTCTTCTGTGAATCACATCAACAGCTGGAGAAGTGATCAGCATTCAGAGGCCAGGGTGAGAGCAGGGGGTGTGGGGTGTGTTTGGAGACCCCGGGGTTCCCTTGTACTTCTTCCTCCTTCACTTTGCTGCCTGTATGTTGTGTGAGGAGTGTCCTGTTGCATGGAAGCCCTGTACAGAGGGAGGTTAATGGTCTTGAACCCACAGATCCCATGTGAACAAATAGAGCATACAGACAGTCTGCTATCAGAATAGGCAGGTTAAAGGAAGCAGTTTATAAGCTACAATTGTTTTTGCCCTACCACCTATCCCACATGGTGATATGACCCTTGACCCCAAATTGCTATATTTTCACTGCTTTTCTTTCCCTCCTATTCAGGTCCAGGGTGCATACTGCAAACACAGATATGATCCCTGCTACAGATCATGCACCGTCACTGAATCTGCTCCGTCCACCTTCACCCGCAGCGCCACCTCTCACAGGAACCGCCGTTACCATCAACGGATGCCACCTCGTTCCAAAGTCCACCCGACCTCCCACTACTCCATGCCTCTGGCATGTGAGGAGCCAGATGAGCAGGAGCAGTGGCCAGACCAACAACATCCTGACAGCTGGAGGTCCCATTGGACGGGCAATCGGTCCGGATCCGTCTTCTCTCTACCCAACATGGGCTCAGCCAGCTCCCGCTCTGCCTGTTCCTCTCCAGGTCCTTGTCCCAGCCCCAATTACAGGAGCCACTCCCTTCACCGGAGTTCTTCGCTCATCCCGCCCTTCCGCCTCAATGTGGACGCTCTGATCGGGGCAGAGGAGACTGATGTAGACACGGGAAACAAGGTAAATCCAGGTAGCAGTGTAGACCTCACAGTTGTGTCTGCGTACGTCAAATCGAGCCTCCCACAGACTCCTCGGCCATTATCGGCCCCACCAGAAGACATCGGACCCCACCTCTCTCCCGTCACCCAAGAGGGCACCTACAAATCGGCCGCTCTGGGCCGGACTCCAAACAGCTTCTCCATCAAAAGCTCTCGGTCTGCCTTGCAGTTGTCATGTTCCCAAAGCACCAGTGCAAACACACTGTCCTCAGCTTCAGTGAACGAGTCAGACAGCTGCAGCATAATTAGTGTGCCAGTTGAAGAGAAAGACACGACAGAAGAGGAAGAACAAGAATTCTACATCTGATCTTTTGCTAAAGGCTCATAGGACTTAACTCTGGTCAGTAATATCAAACCTTAGTGCTGAGACAATCATGTAAGCTCTACTCTGCCCCCTGGTGTTTGATAGTAAAACAACAACAGCAAACTGAAGCAAAGCACAAAGTGTTCTGAAATATTTGTGAATGCTGCATTTTTTTTTTTTTTTGCATGTGTATATATAAACTCTGTAAATGCTACTTCATATCTACTTTCACGCATTTAATGGAGAAGTTGCATATCTGTGTACAGAAACATTTAATAAAATTGCAAATTGTTTGTCCCCTTTCAAATGTGTTGCTTAACACTCCATTAAACGTAGGGTAGGTGTCACGTTTTCTACATCACTGATCATAACCAATTAGATTTGTTGTGTAGGCCTAACCAAATGGCAACATTAAAAACTGACATGATATAAGTGAAAAGAAGATTTCTGCCACTAATGCTTTCACCAGACATTTAGCATTTCAGTCCTGTGTGAAGTCCTTTTGGCCTGGATGCCTCATCTGATGGGTTTAAAATTGGAAGACTGTGCATCTTCAAATATTAAGCTGCCAAATGCATAGAAAAAGCTCTTTAAGCTAAACATAAACTGCCGTGCAGGTAGTAGGTTGGTCACCAGTGCTCTTCTATTTAAAAAAAAAAAAAAAAAGGTTTCTTAAATCAAGGGCCTGCCACTGTCCAAAATAAGACTGACACACTAACAGTACTGAAAAGTACATGGATCTGCAAACTTGGTGGATAAAATATGTAAAGTTATCACAGAGAAAGCAGCAGAAGCTACTAAAAGTTAGAGTACAGTCATATGGTCTTAAATGGTCAAAGAAATGTAGCCATAAATTAATTTGAGAAGCATGAGAGGGAAAGCAATCCTTCCGGTTAAGAGAAATGCTTTAAATTCCTTCCACATTTTAAGGTACACAGACTGGGGATGTGTTTATTTTGATTTGTACTTAAGTTCCCATTCATTCTTTTTTTTCATATAGCCTGTAATTTAGTGGTTAAGAACCTTAAATTAACCTTAATTCAAACATGAAGAGTAATAGTAAATGTAAATGTGGTCAGATGTGTGGTAAGTATATTTAAAAAAATATGCACAAGATCATTTGCATGTTAAAAAGAAGCCAGATGGTGAAAATAAAAGACATTTTGTGTAAATATAAAAAGTGCAAGAGGTACAGAAGGCTGCACCACAGAGTAGGATATAAGATTCAGGAACAATAACACACACATGATTCTCCTGCAAGTTTCTTTCTGTTCAAAGGGAGCGTTTTATCTAAACTTGGCACTGAAAGTAAGGAAATTATTTCTTGTAGTGATGCTTCTTGGCAACAAATCTTACACTGTTGGAAAGCCTGTTTATTTCCCCTTAAATGGTGCCACATTTGTAAGGAAAATGCATTTGTAGGTTGCACCCATGAAAACTTGCCAGATCTTCTTTGCCAACGCCAAACAGCAGATTCTGTTACTGGCTCTTGTTTGGTGTTGTTTACTGGAGTGGATAACTGAAATTTGAAGACGAAAGACAAATTGGCAATTTAATAATTTATTCTTTTAACAAAGAGGGGCCTCGGTAGTATTGCTGTGGGATTACATCACATTCTTCAACCAGCATTTGTCACAAGTAGGCAAATGTGATTGTGTTGGTCACTCTGGCACGGACATCATGTCCAAGCTGATCCCATAAGCAGGGTTGAGGTCAGGACTGCAGGCAGGTAATTCCATCCTCTCCATTTTTAAATTCTGGAGGTAGTCTCCAATAAACCTGCTCTTTGAGGTGGGTGTGATCTTGGAAGATAGAGTTCAGTCCCAGACTGTGGAGATATGGGACTGTCACTGGAATCTCTGCACTGAGATTTCCTTCAATGATGACCAGGCTCGTTTTCCTAGTGAGGCAGATCCCTCCCCACACCATCACGTCTCCACCACAAGGTGTTACTGTGTCGGTGCAGCAATCAGCATGATGTTCTATGTGTACTGCCGTAGACAGAATCTGCACAAATTATAACGTAACGTTCCCCACATGTTCAGGTTCCAGTGCACATGTTGCAGACACCAGCACCTGACACTGAAGGGCAGTCACAGGAGGCCTCCTGCAGCCCAATGAGACTGGAGATCAGCTGTGTGCAGTCTGTTCCGGCTTGTCTGGGTAAAGAGCCCTCATCCATATTATCCTGCAAATCTGTAGAAGACAGTTTACAGTTCCTGAGTGATGACACGGTGAGGAAATGGTCTTCCTGTGGTGTCTTCTTTTTCTTCTTGAGATGCCAATTTCATGGCCTGTCTCTGACATCCCCCATTAGAGATGGTACCAGGTTTCACACCAAACAATGCTGCAACTTTTGTAGGAAGGGCCATATCCAGATCAGTCAAACACGGTATGCTTGGCGCAGACACCAACTGAGCGCTGTAGTAGGGTCCATGCTCACAGGTGCTGCTCATAAGGGATACGATTATAAGCACCTGGGGTACCAGAACCTCAAAATAAGAGTCAACAGCAGAATAAGTTGTTTGGAATTGGCAGAAGAGATTTGGCAAATTTCTCATGAGTTCAAACCAAATACTCAATCTGCTGTTCAACCTTCAAAATGCATTTTTCCTTGCAGATGTGGCACAGTTTATGTGGAAAGGCTTTCCAGCAGTGTAAGAAGCATTGTTATAATAAAAAAAAAAATAATTCCCTAAATACAAATTACTTGCAAAAAAATGAAAAAGATATCTTCTTAAGAGACTTTTCTTGGAATGTGGAGACTACAATAAAGTATTTCAATACAATGCAGTGCTGCCCCCTTGTGCTGAACTTTGAGGTTAAAGAAGTAACTTGAGTACAAGAGTTTCACTTCTAGTGATTTTCTTTTTATTACTACTTAAGAGTTGGGTCTCGCCTTTGAAGTAATCTCCACATGAATAAATTCAGGTAATCTCTCCACAGGCTTTCAAGGACTCACTGAAACAGTATCTGCATGTGTCAGAGCTGCTTCACTGAGGTCTGCAACTCTCTTCTGCGTCTCGGGAAAATCTTTAACGACCTCTCGTTTCAGCTCGAACTGTGAAAGCTGTCTCTCTGCACTGTTTGAGCACTTACGCAGGTGCGAGCCTGCCTGTGTGGTCCACAGTCTGAAGAAGAAAAATCCAACATTAGTGCACATTGGTTGTCATGGTGAAACCTTGCAACCCTGAGGAGGTGATGTAATCATCCACCAATCAACACAGAGATTTGTGTAATATATTACCTCTTCGGGCCAAGCCTGGAAAATAGATCAGTCTGCAAGCTGAGATCCTGAGATCCCAGACAGTTTTGGAAAATTTGTTCAACAACTTAGATTAAATGTATAAAATTTTTAAAATCTGTGCAAGGAAACTGTTGAAATGAATAATAGTTGGACTACAGGGCTCTGCAACATGTAAAAAAACAAAAAACAAAGATCTGAAAATCACTTAAATATAGAGAAGACACAATGTAGAGCCAGGGAAGACAGAAAAAGGAGGATAGTGGATTTTCAAATTGGGTTAGAAATATATATATATATAAAAGAAAACCTGATTATAGGTCTGATAGATTATTGATTACCAGATTCACTTGATTGGATGGATGTTATCACTGGTAATCAGCCCTATAGATATGAGTCAGAAGTGCCCAGTTATTATGTATCCATAAGTATACAACTTAACAGTATGTTTAATAAAGCTATTAGCATAAAGGGGAACGGTATAGTTTCCTTACAGTGTATTGTATAATAACTCTGCATTCATTACTATTTTAATTATACGCTCACTGGCCACTCGTTCACACAAATATCTAATTAGCCCATGCTGAAGAAGAAGTTAATAAGGTGACATTGACTGTTGCATGGTTGTTGGTGGCAGATGGGTGATCTACTGGCAGTTTCCCCACACAACTGTCTGTAGAGTTTACAGTGAACGGTCCAAAACAGAGAAAATATCCAGTGAGTGGAAGTTTGGTGAAAATACCTGGTTGTTACTGGGGGTCACTGGAGAATAGCCAGACTGCTTTGAGCTCACAGGAAGGCAACAGTAACTCAAATATTCGCTCGTTAGAACCAACGTGTGCAAGTGCCACGCCTGTCTCAATTTCTGCTGTGACATTTGGATGGTGGCGTCAGAATTAGGCATAAACAACATGAAAGCATGGATTCATCCTTCTTTATATCAACAGTTTGGGCTGGTTATTTTGTTTGCACTCTTTGTACCAACTAGGTGTTGTTTAAACAACACAGCCTTGTGACCTTAGGCGGGTGTGCAAACCCTGACAAACCGATATAAATATACCAAATTATCTGTGCCTTCCCAAACGAATTCGTTTTAATTATGTCCCACTATGACTTTTTAATGTTAACAGATGTCTGACTAGGCTGTGAAGAGATTATATTAACTGGCAGCAGATGGTGCTATAGTGAAACAGAAATAGGATTTTAAAAGTTACAGCTACAGCTGCTTTACAGTTACTTTGTCTGATTCTTAAAAGCTTCAAAAATGATGCTTTTGTGTCATTGATGTTTTATTTCTTTGTTGCAGCATGGGATACTTTCTTAAACATTTAGGGTATTTCCAGTTTCCCACATAGTACCTGCTGTTTCCACACCCACTTCCAATTTCTTGTGCTTCAAAGAAAATTAAAAAGTAAAACCGAGATTTTTCCCATAACTCTCCAGAGCCACGCTCATGTCCCCGTGAGGTGATGCTTGCACGGGACACGTCCCCTCACGTCGCCCCTCTCCCAGTGCCAGCACTACTGGCTCTAATCCGCCGTGGCGTACCTGGCAGATCGCTCTGGCGACACCGGCGTTGTTGCAGCCTGGCCCGGCCCCACACACCCGCATCCCCTTTAATCCTAATGAACTGCCCCAAGGCCCCGGGGCCCGAAGGGAAGTAGGCCACTGGAGATGAAGCAGAGTGAGTGAGTCTGTCACATCATTTTTACAACTATATATAAGCTGCTTTCTCTCAATCCTTTGTCACCTTCATTTTATTATCTTCTTTTTTCTTGTGTTGATTTTAGTTGTAATAGTTCCTCTTCATTGCTTTCTACACTGTGACCTCAGATGACCTTTATTTTCCCTGCAAGGGTAAAAGTCACTGGGTGGAGAGAAGACTGCAGTGAAGGATATGAATGGAGAGCCTGGGGATAGCCTCCACTAGTTAGGGATTAAGTTGCTGCTATGTGGAGAAAGGCAGAGATATCACAGAGTTGCACAAATACTCATCAACTAACGGTGCTGCTTTTGGAAGGAAAAAAAACTTCACTGAATATTTCTAAGCTCTTGGAAACAAAAAGCTGAATGCATGTGCACATGAAAGGTGTTGGCATGGATCGTTACCTGAACAAACCAACTAGATATGTGCCCAGGAACCTAAGGGAGCGCCTCTTACATCATTAATTTTATTATATAACATAATATGTGTGCAAAGGAGTGTCAGGTAGATCTGCAGGGAATGGTGGCTTTAGACAGGAATCAACAGCTTCTCTTCATCTCTAGTATTAACTACATTTTCAGTTAGCATAGCACTACATTTGAGTTCTGCATAAATAGGTGAAAAACAACCACAAAGAGATATAAAGTGACCAAGGAGAAACTGAAAATGATTGCAAAGTGTGTGTTCGTGTGTGTCAGTGAATGAATGATGTGTCAGAAGGCTCTGAATGCTCAGTTTGCAATTTTTTCCCCACTCTTTGATCTGTATGATGTCAAAGAGAGCAGATATCTTTAAGCGCTTGGTGACTCCGGGGTAGCTCACTGGGTGTCTTGGCGCGGTTGCTGACCTGCTCCCTTGGGGATTGTGGTCCAGGGTAGATTGGGCATCTTTGTCGCGCAGTGGGACACCCAGGGCTCAAAGTATAGAAACTAGTTCCCACCACTCAAAAATATATAAATAAATAAACCTAGGCAGAGCTACATAACATTTTTGAGTTGTTATCTCACAACTGGGACATACTAAGCCAAATCTTTTTCTTATGGATGGCAAAAAAAAAAAAAAAACCCAAAAACATTTTCAGTGGAGGAAACAACCTTCCATACAAGATCACCACTTCATTAAAAACCAAGCAAGCAACAGCCAATCAAAAGAAAGTTGGCTTAAACAGAACATGGCTAGTTTCGGACAGAGCATGAACTTAGGGTTCGCACTTGGGCCCAGTCTATATAAGAACTGCAAGACTTAAAGTGCTTTGCCTTGTAGTATCGTCTTCCCTGTAGCCTGGTACAAGCCAGCTGTCATGCAAGGGCGCTGCTTTAATGACCAAGTAGCTGCTTACTCAAAGAGCAGTGATGATGACTGTGTTATCAGTGTTTGGTTCCATCTGTCTGTTTGCCCATCAGTCTCTTTATTAGCTTTCCAGCCTCCACAGTTTTCAAGATATCATTTTCAAACTCTGTGTGATGCTAGATGCTAATAAGAGCTTGAGCAGATTTAATTTTGGTGAAACTTGGGTCAAGGTCAAGATCACACCAAGTGGCAAAATGAATAAAAACTTTGAGAGAGCTGTATAACACTCTTACAAAAAAGCTTATAGAATCCAATTCTGCTCCAATCATACTGTAAAGCTGCAACAAGCGCCATTTTAGTATGTAATGCTTCAAGGTCAAATGACAGGGAAAAAGCTTTAGTTTTCACTGTTTTCCCCAAATTTTAAAGCAATATGTTAATCATTGTACATCAGCACAAATGAGCCATGAAAACAATCCAGATGTCATTTTTGAGGATTTGCTGACATCAGCATAAAACATCAAAGTTTGAATATAACCCTTTGGGGGTTACTCTACAGCGACACTGTAGAGTAAGTTGACCTGCATCTTGAACTCTGAGTGCAGCTGAAGCTCACTTTGTAGCATGTCCAGGGATCAGAAGTAGAGAGTACAAACCAGTATTTCTACTTCACCAATGTGAATTTCTAACATAGTGTTGCACCAAAGGCCCCTTGTCCACCAAGATGAAAGCTGCTGTCAGTGGTGGCATCTTTACAAAGAATTGTCTTTGGTCAGTCACTGTGATGTCTCATGTTCTCCAACAAAGTCCTTAAAATTCCAAATCCCTGCCTTTAGAGTCGGAGAGTTGGGTTTTAAAGAATGCGTTGACTCTGGTTAATGAAGCCAAGCCACGGCTTCACTAATTAGTCAAGTCCAGTAATGGCTGGAATCCACTGTTAGTCAAAGCTGCCAAATACCTGATGGCTACCAATCATGCTCTGTCTTCATGGGAAAAATACCCACAATTTATTTTGCTGACTCTCATTTCCCCAATTAAGAGGGACAGTTGAGGGGCAGATCACTCCAGAGCAGACTGATTTTAGGTGAAAAAAAGGGCATACCGTGATCAAATATTTGCAATTCTTCATGTTTTTGGGTTGTTTTTTTTAAATCAAAATGCAATAATAATGTCATGGTGAATGTTAGTAATGGAACACATGCTGTAAGCATATGTGAAGACTACATAGGTAATGTGTAGGTATAAGGATGAGGAAGAAGAATCTGTTTCATAACATAACTACTAAGACTTCTCTCTCTGTCTTAAGGTGCTTACATTGTAACCCTACAATATTATGTCTAAACACTTTTAAAAACCTCATTCAAAGTCTGTTGTTTCATATAATGTTGTTTCTTGAAGGCTGAGATGCTGTTATGCGTCACATGTTGGAGCAACGCTTCCACATCTCACAGAGCGATACCAATTAAAAAATGCTGACACAGTAGTGTGACGCTCAAAGCAAAAATGTCTTTTGATCATCACAACAAAAGGCCAAAGCACTTGTATAACAGAATGAATGTCTTAGTGAGTGTGTCTGTGTGACCTTCAAAAAAACAAGCAGGTGTTTGCAGTAGTCAGCCTCTTACACAAACATTATAACCTCAAGATCGATGTGATATGATCAAATCATAGTACTGTGCAAGCTGAGATATTTTTCTAGGAAAATGGGGAAAAGGTGCAGTGATTCTTTTGAAACATGCGCAAACATACACAGAAATATGGTATATAATATTGGTATACAGTATATACCAATATTTGGTAAGACCACCTTTATTTTCAACACAGCCTTAAGTTTCTTTGGCAAGCTTTCATGAAATTTACTTAATTAGTGCTCAGGAATTGTTCTCCAGACTTCTTGAAGGACAATCAAAGCTCTTCTTTGGATGTTGGCTGTCTTTTGCTCTGTTCTCTGTCAAGTCAGTCCCACAGTGCTTTATTGATGTTGAGGTCCAGGCTCTGGGGAGGCCAATCCATGACTGTTTCAACCATGTTTTATACTTTCTATGCTTATTAGCGTGCACCACTTTATTGATGTAGAAGGTGTTTTTGCTTATTCACTCTGTGCTTAAAAACAGAATAATAAAGTAACAGACCTCGAGCACAATCTTCTTTATTGGCCTGTACTGCACAGAAAACCAACTCTGCCATGTCCATGTACAGATAACAACAATAGTGAGCTGCCTTTGTAGAAACACCTGCCAATGAAAAAGCTTTCACCCCACTGTGACAATCATAATGTACTGTCCTAAAACAGGTATATAAAAACGCCAAACACACAAAAAGTCCTAAACTAATGACTCAGGAAGCTAGGGTGAATCAGAAAGAAACTTACTGCTAATATAAAAGTTTTTGTGTGGTATAAAAGTAACACTGGTGGTCTTAAAGAGTTACTGCCATACAGTTTTTTATACTTTTAGACAGGCTAGCTGTTTATTGTACCAGTTATGCTAAAGGGCTGCACTAAAGGGCAAATATGAAAGCTACCAATGTTAACTACTAATATAAGAACTAATAACTCAAAGAAATACTTTAATTTCCCAAAGTGCTGAACTATTCGTAAGCCACATGCTTTAAACAGCCTGTTGTTTCGCCTCTAGCTTATTTATAATACATTTTTTAACGGTTTATCCCTCAATGTGTTTGACTTTTATTAGTAGTAACCAATTAGGAGTCTCCACAGTAGCATTTTCAGATGCATGCCTGCCCCTCTGTGCACTCGTGTGTGGGTGTTTTTTCCCCCTCTCTGCCTGGTTTGGGATTTGCTGGTCGGTGACATGCCTCCCTCCGCCTGGCTCCTTATAGCCCCGCGGAGGTAGGAATCCCGGACGAGTGGTACGGACATCGCCGACGGAGACCGCAAACACGGAGCGGAGCGGTCCCCTTTAAACACGGTCTTATGACTACAGACCGCTTCAGACTGAACCAGAGGCTGACAGCCGAGAGCAGAAGAGGGGTTACTCTACTGACAGGAAGCCGGGGGACAGTGACTGACGGCAGGGGACAGACAGGACACAGGTCCGCTCCAGAGGCTGAATGGTCTGTGTCCAGTCAGAGAACAGTTGAACGGAAACTACCTCACCTGTCCGCAGGTACGACACACAGCTGCACCGATAATTATCGTCACAACAGAAAATTATCATGTTAAATGCATTGAGCCATCCAAAAGTGTACCTTAAAAATGCAGCACTGACATATTTTACTTTTACCTCTTAGAGAAAGATGCTTTTCAACACCTTGATCTCCAAATAAAAGGAATGTCCTAAATTTAAAATCTTACTTTTTATTTGAGAGAAATCTGCAGTATTAATCCTACATTTAACTAAACTGGGTTTCGTTATTATTTGTAGTCATGCATTGACATGTGAAAATCATTTCATTGTGGCAGCTTGCCAGAAACAGCTTTTCACTCAGGATAGGCCAAATCTGCTTACCCTTATATGGAGAAAGTACTACACTGAGCATCATGAAAAGGTAATATTAAAGCTTCCCTTTTTGAGTGGTGCAGGTCTGCTTTGCTGAATGCCAGCTCGTTGTAGGCTCCCACATTTGATAACTGAGTGATCCACAAGCAGGATGCAGGAATCCCAGCGGACCCACCTGTCTGGGATGGATAGAGTGGTTAAAATGTGCCCCACTCATTCCTATAAAACATAAAACCCTTAAATAGTTGCATGTTGTTTGATTTCATTGCTGCATTGGAGTTTTTTTTTATTCTTTTTTTTTCATCTTCCAGAATTTTGTGCTTTTGTCCGCGTGTCGCACCCTGTGGACACATCCTCTCGTGCAGCACTGAGGAGATGTGTCGGCTGCCAGTGGCCTCACTCATCATTTGCTTCTGGTTGGTGGAGAGAAGCTACTGCAACAACAGCCTTCAGGACAGCATGAGGGAGCTGCACACCAGGTTCGCCATCAGCCTCTACCAGACTCTCACAGAGACGGAGAACAACTCCAACTTGATCGTGTCGCCAGTTAGCGTCTCCTTGTCTCTCGCGCTCCTGCAGCTTGGCGCCAGGGGCAACACACTTGCTCAGCTGGAGGGAACACTGGGCTACAATGTGAATGGTAGGTTTCTGATATTTCCTCTTTTAACATTTTTAAATATAGGAATGGAAATGTAAGTTTTTATCCAGGTGGCATTAGAGGCTCCTTATGCTGTGTGAAAGAGGCTGAAAGAGGGTGGCCCTCAGTGCTGTTGGTACCAGGTGGTGTGGAGCAGTGCTCCTGCTGCTGTTCGCCCTGCAGAGCATAGTGGTGTCTGGAGCCATAATACCTGCCTCTACACCAACTCTAATCTCATTAACGACTTCTTCAGCTCGGCCTTTGGGTCAAGAGGTTAGGTGTTTAATTTACAAACAAAATGAAAATTACACCTGGGGATTTATCTCCACCTCTTCCTAGTGATGACTTTAGGCTCTAATTTAGCTTCCATCATGAAATAAAAAAGATTTCCACGACACCGAAAGACATGGTCATCAAAGAATCCTGAATTGAAATCAGTGGGAGAATTCAAGGCAAAGATAGCTGTAGATATAATCCCCAGAGGTGTGATTCTATACATGCATATCTTTATGCCATTGTGACCACTGCAGTGAAAGTTCATTAAAAGCTTCAATAATAGGTGCACAAATAAGGTGCTCGAATTGCAAGACGTGTTTCCAAAAGGGTTTCTTTTCAGAGCAAGCACTGAAAAGCGGTGTTTGACTTGTGTGTAGATCATTTTAACTAACTAACTAACTAACTAACTAACTAACTAACTAACTAACTAACTAACTAACTAACTAACTAACTAACTAACTAACTAACTCCTCTGGCTGTAGTTAACAACAGCTGGGTAGAAAAAACATCTGTGTCTTCCTTTTCTGCAGATGCCCACGTACAAGACTTCCTGTCACACTCCCAGGCCAACATGAAGAACAACAGCCAGGGGATGTGGCTGCAGCAGACCTGCACATTATTCATCCAGAGTGGTGTCCAGCTCCTGCCTGGGTTCACACAGCTTGCATCAGAGTGGGCCAACACCAGCGTTGTCCGAGCCAACTTCAGCCAGCCCAATCAAACCCACAGCCAACCGGAGCGAGCGGGACACCAGCAAGGTAACCCAGACAGAGCTCCCACTCACTTTTACTCTTATGCTGACACAGATTAGGGTGGCATGGATCCTGCAGTAAAATAAACATTGATGTGGAGATTTTCAGAGTGCTTTGGTTTAATGCACATCCTGTGCATTCCTGTTTGTGAAAGCACACTTAGATCAAGTCCTCTCACACTGACCACACAACAGCAAACTACAACTCGACTTCACTGAGATGATGACGATCCTTTTCTGCTGGGCAGCGGCTTCCTAATATGTTGGCAATAAAATCATAAGAGAGATATTATTTTAGCTTGTGGCGTTCCTCTGCCCCCTGGTGTTAGAAAATATATTAAAGCAGTTTTAATTCCAATTTTCAAAGCAGAGGTTTCTTTGGAACCCTTATGATAAAAAACATGAATTTCTAACCCATTTTCAAACATTTCTACAGATTGTGTTATCTGCTACATGGCCTGTAGGTCAGGTGGTCTGTACATTGACCTTCCGTTGTGCGTTTCAGATGAGTCATGGCATCTCCTGGCAGGAAGCGTCAGCGGTGAGCTGTCAGGCTCGGGCGAGGCCCAAGCAGAGGCTCTGTGGTGGGGACACCGGCCGCAGGTGGCCCTGGTCAACACAGTGGCCTTCAAGGGCGTCTGGCAGAAGCAGTTCATGTTCACCAACACCCAGAATCTGCCGTTTGTGCTCTCAGATGGGAATGTGATCAAGGTGGCCATGATGTATCAGGCCGCAGAGGTTAGCTTTGGTAAGAGGCGATGTTTCACTGACACTTACAGGCTTCAGATCCCACCCACTCTCTTATCTACCCACCCTGTTTCCAGGTGCAGATGCATTTAAAAGCTAAACCTTAATGAGGTGCTAATATATCAGTGTTTTGTTTACAACTGGTTCCCATGTGGGCTGCTGATAGAAATTTGAAAAAGTGCTGTTGCTGCTACAATTATAATTGTATCTAAGACAAAACACCACTGCAGTTTGGTGAAACTCATCTTAAAAGTCCCCTCAGGAGTTTACTGATGACCAAACTTCTTTTAACATTTGGAACTCTTAAATTATTTAGGTTGGCATTGCAGTCCCGATCATCACTTGGATTGCTTGTTTCATGCTTTGCCCCGTATCTGTTTTCATGAGAACCTTTTGCATCGTGTACTTTAAAGGAAGTGAAGAACTTTGAACCATTTCTTCATCATCAATCATTTGCTGTAATTGCACTCAACCCGTCAGATTTGATATTATTAATAAAAGCTTTAGTTGAAAAATAAAAGGGTTTATTACTATGTATGTGTATCTTTACAATATTATAAGCTTACATAAATACAGGTTTGTAGACCCAGCACAGCAGCCACAAGAAGGAGCTAAACAAAGCATGTAATGACCAAAAGATCTGATGGAAACTGTAAACACTTGAACTTGTTCACCTCTCTGGCAGGTCAATTCAGGACAGCGTCAGAACAGCGCTACACCGTGTTGCAGCTGCCGTACCTGGGCCGCTCCCTGAGTCTGCAGGTGGTCCTTCCCAGTGAGAGGAAGACTCCGCTGTCCTCCCTCGAGGCCCAGCTCACTGCACGCCAGCTGGCATCCTGGGACGGCGGCCTGCGGAGAACCAAAATGGACATCTTCCTGCCGAGGTGCAGCAGATTACAGACTTTTGTGCTTGAAAACCATCTTTAGGTTTCGTTTAGAAAAAACGAGAAATAAAACAGCAAATTACATAGTCTCCGTCTGGTATTTGCAGATTTAAAATGCAGAACAAATTCAACCTGAGGTCGGTGCTCCCTGCTCTGGGCGTCAGTGACGCCTTTAACCCAGCAGCAGCTGACTTCACTGGAATATCAGGTCAGCTTGTACGTTCAAAATACCTGTTTCAAAAGCTTTTTTGTATGTTTCATGCAAACGGCTGCTCAATATTTTTTACTCCCTGCAGCAGAGGAGGGTCTTTATGTGTCTGATGCCTTCCATGAAGTAAGAATAGAAGTCACAGAGGATGGAACAAAGGCAGCTGCTGCTACCGGTGAGTAATGTCTGTTACAATAGTGGAACAGAAATGAGTGCTTATCATATAAGGTTGTTAAAACGCACTCTTTACTCACACAGCTATGGTGCTACTCAAAAGATCCCGGGCTCCTGTTTTCAAGGCGGACCGACCCTTCTTATTTCTGCTTCGACACATTAAAACAGGTATTTATCCCTTTTTTTTGCACATTTGAGCAAAACACAAAAAACTGGCACAGTATTGCAAATCAGATTTGTACTGTCTGACGTAATCCAACAAAAGCACTATTTACTTATGCTTGAGTAACGTTTTCTTATACACAAGTATGGTCGACAAAACAAAAGCCTTCCACTGGGGCCAGAACCTGGAGACTGTGGTTGGCTTTGCAGTGGGAAAATTGCAGATAATTTATTAATCATAAAGAAGTAAAATACTTCTGTGTATATGTGGAGGCAGCTGAAATCACCCTGTTTTTTAGAGATCTATTTGTCTGAAACACCATAGTTGTAAATGGACTGATACTTTTATAGCTCTTTTCTACAGTAACTGCACTCAAAGTGCTCTTTACGTCAAGCCTCATTCACCCAGTCGTACAAGCACTTCTTTCTATACCAGCTGGGGAATTGATCCGTGACCTTCCAATTGGTAGACTAGTGCATGAAGCACAACTGCTCGCAAAGCTTGCAGCACCTGGTATTCTCCCAGTTAGTCTCCAGTCCAAGTACGAACCCTGCTTAGCTTCTGAGATAAACAAAATTGGGCTGGTATGACTGTAAGCTATACCAACTCGTGCTTATTTACAGTACGCATATTGTGGATTTTGCATTAGTTCAGGATGCAGTGGCGTTACTGGTCCAGCCCCCTTGAGATCAGACTGGAACATGTAGCCAAGAGTTTGACATGAAGCGTCAAGGGACGAAAAGACCAATCACTGGGTTGGTGGCAGCAGTTAGTTCATGTGATCGTGTCACAAAGTGAGTGTCATGAATATGGATAAAGATATGAAATTACAGCAATAGTTTTTGCAGGGGACCTCTGTTTATCTGAGGCCAGTCTTGCTCTCTACATGATTTTCCATACAATCGTGAAGGATTTGAATATATTGATATGGCCACCTCTAGTGGTGATATCAAAAAACACACTAAGTTGATCTACAAAGACTGCATCAGTGCTATATCTCTTTAATTATAATTATTAGTGCTTAACTAGCATTCCACATGATCCTTTAATGCAAAATATTTATTTGCTTTCCAATTCAGGATCCATCCTCTTCATGGGCCGAGTAATGAACCCAGCAGACCAAGCATCCTGAAACCGTCCAATCTAAACGCCACTCACATTCACCTCTACAGCAGCCCATTTCACTACTGGTATTTATTTGTGGACCAAATGGAGGCTCCACAGACACGTCAGGAAGAGGGACATTATTTTTGTACATATTTGTAAATAAAATTTTAATGTTTTTACACTTTCGGTGTTTCGATCCTCTTTCCATTTGACGCGACGTTACTGAAACGGCCAACGTGCGTAAATAAAAGCAGGCAGACTCGCGTGTTTACAGAACACTTTATTTACATGGCCCTTCACAGTGTAAAATAGAAGCTTTATTCATGGAAATACTTACAAAAAGGCCATTTTTTTTCCACTGAACATTCTCTTTAAATAGTACTCTAGGGTTATTTACATCTTTACAGTGTATTCAAAATACTCTTTTGGTAGCGGCCTCTTCACAAACAAAGACAAGTATGGCAGATTTTGGTCCCTGTCCAAGGAGGGAGGGAGCGGAAGAGGGCTGCCCTCTGAGCCTGAAATCAACTCCTGACCTCTAGACATTATTTGTGTAAATTGGAGAACATTAAACAAGCCTGACCTAAAAAAAAAAAAAAAAAGTTTAAAGGCTGTTTTTTTTCATTTTAAATTACATAAATAAAGATTCTCAAATGTACACAAGTGCATTTGCTTTTAAGTGGTAAGAAGTTGCTTTGAGATTCATGGCGGAAAAAGGAGTTTAGGGGCTGGGTTAAGTTATTTGGCAGCAGCCAGCACGCTGGGACAGGCTGGCATCCGACACCTCGGTTCATCTACACTCCACCAGACAAGATGTTTGTGTTGCATATCAGCTGTTTCAGGCTAAAACAAAGTGAAAGGGCAGGGAGGAGGGCTCCGATGTTATTGCTGATTGTGATGCATTAATGTGTCAGTTCCTGAGCTTTTTGTTTTTCCCCAACTTTACTTTGCAAAAGACAGTTTTGTTTTTTTAAAGTTGACTGTCTCCAGATGCAACGATCGTTGTGGATCTGTTTTCTTCGCCGCCCCCCCTCCCCCCAACCCCACCCCCGCCCCGCAAAGGGAACAGGAACTGGTGGTTTAGTCCAAAAGTTAAGCTACTACTGATATAGCATCAGTCTGCCAGGAAGACTACACGTTATTAGATTCAATGTTTCAAGCCCAATTGTTCTGATTCGAGAGTTCAGCAGTCCATTTGGTGGAAAGCAGAAGGTCAATTTTAACAATTGCGAAGTGAACGGCCGGACTCTTATCCTCCACAAATCAGAAATAACACCATGGGGGGGGAAAATAAAATAAAGTTGAATCGTGACTTTGAGCAAAGTCTCTCATGAGCATCTCCGCTGGATCCCATTTGACCCTGAGTTGTCTGAAAATACAACCACACGTGCCGATATACCCTTCATTATCAGTCCAATCACACTGTCACGTGACATTACATCCACACACAGGCTGTCATCTGACCCTCTCCAGAAAAGCCCTTGTTTATTTCAGCACCCCTGTCTGAGAGATAACCACTCACATTTGTTAAAAGAAAAGAAAAATCTGATGAGGGGAGCTGAATAATTAAAGGGCAACATCTGAGGACGGGTTCAGAGAACCTTCCCGTACAAACTGTCCACAGGACAAACACGTCATTGCATAGGCCTTCACCTTCACACTTCACCTGCAGCGATATGTGCTTCCTCGCTCATCTTTTTTTTTTTTTGCAAGTCTGAAAAATGCATCTGCATTACTCAGGGTCAGTACTGTCTTTGAGGATTACTGTGCAAACAACACAAGCATAATGCTCATTAAATGAATGAAGGAGTCCAGTGAAGAAGCGATGGTTTGGGAGCTGGATGCCGCCTTGTCTCATCTCTGCAGGGGCCCCTGGTACAGTAGGAGTGGTGGTTTGAGGGGGATGTGGAGGGTTGCCCGGTTTGGTTACCAGTAAGTTCAGTTTGGGAATGAGTTCGCGTTAGAACGTGTCCACGTGGTTCATGTTAGTGGCTCTGTTGTGGATCTCTTCGAGGAAGTTTTCCAGCTGTTCGATGAGAACACGCTTCTTGAACCTTTGCAGAAGAAGAAGCAATGACACGTGTTAACATTTGCCTTTTAAAAACAACTCTGTAGTAAAGGAGATCATGAACAGAAAATTATGATACGTTTTTGTTTCTTTGCATTTTGTTCGGTTCGTGAAACTGCAGATGTTTTAAATGCAGACTCCTGGTGCTAGGATACAGCTGCTCTTTACTTTAAGAGAGCTTATAAAAAAAAAAAAGACAGTCCCCTTTTTCTGTTTGCAGCTCATTTTAAGTAAAAAAAAAAAAAAAAAAAAATTAGGGGAGAGGTAATAACGCTCTGACAGCAGAGGAGGAGGGCTGAACTTTGTACCTGGCTGCCTCTTTGATTATGTTTTGGAGGAAGATGAGCCGGGTGTCGAGAGTGCCCTGGATCTGTTTCAAGAGGAGGAAAATCTTCTCGTAGTCTGAAACAGAAAAAGCAAAGCGAACGAGGTTCAGTCGATTCAAGGAGAGCACATCCACTGAATCAAATCTTTGTATGTGTACAGCTGAATGTTAATAATAAACAAGATAAAAGGCGTTCTCACTCATAAAGGAAACTAGAAAAAAAAAAACATTCCACAGCACGTTTTCAAAGTCCAGAGTGACGTCCAATGTTAGTTTGACGTGTACGGTCAAATCAACAGAGGAGATAAAGAAAGAAAGAAAAAAAAAAAAAAAGTTTGCTTCTTTAAATTTACACACAGATATGCAAACCTGCTGTTTTTCCTAGCTTTGTTTTTAAGAAAAACAGCTTTGCTTCTGGACAAACCAAAGCTTAAGTGCCATGAAAAACCACATTTATGTGGTTTCTTCTGGAACAAAAACAAGACAAAGATGTAACGAGGAAGAATGAAATACAAAGCAGCATCTTCAATTTAGCAGCCCTGCAATAAAAGCTGAAGCTTCGAATCTCTGTTTAGGTGATGATTCAATCACACTTGTGACTTTTAGATGCTACCATGGTTACATATGAGAAAAAAAAGCTCTTTAAAGTTAGTGGTAGCTGCTCTCCGTTTCTATTATTTTGTCCTCCCTGCCTATAGACCAGGTTTGGATACATACGTCTGCCAGGTTTTCTGATCTCCTTGGTGATGAGCGACCTGAGCTCATTGTTGACCTTCGTCGTCTCGGTGTGAATGTGCTTCTTCAGAGCTGAAGGCGTAATGTAGTGCTGCACCTGGTCGTCCATCAGCACCATCTCCGCTCCTCCCTCGCTGCCCAGTGGCAGCTCGCTTGGATGGGTCTGCCCGTTCTCGTCCTCATCCCTGTGCCGCATCACCTGAGGATCCGCAGCAGTGTGGTTCTCCTGAAGGTCGGTGGGACTCGAGGGACGGTCCACCTCCGAGTCAGAGTTCCGGTCTGAGCCGTAGTGGTTCTGATCCACGTGGTTGATGATCAGGTCTGCTTCTGGTGCACCGTCGTTAACGTCCATGTCTACAGAAAGGTGGAAAAAACCAAAAACATTCACTGTAATCCAGATCGGCTGTGTAGGACGGGTTGTGCCATAACCCCACATTTTTCCTGCCTTGAGTTTTATATTCTGTGTGTTAAATCTACCCTCTGTTGACCAATTTCCCTAAATTTATGAAAAAAAAAATGTGCTTTTTTCTTAAGATACCATAATCACTGAATCATTATTAGGCCAGTACACTTGGTTGTACACTCGGCACTAGAAGCATGCCATCAGTCATTATTAAGAATTACAGTATTAGTAGAAAAGATGTGCGACTGTCTCTTAGATCGTACCTGCTGAGTGTCGAGGGCTCGCAGACGGGGACACTGGAGGGGTGTAGGCTCTACCCAATCGCAGCAGAGGTGACATGCACCGGCGTCTCTTTGGACCTCCGCCCGGCACGTTGTTGCTGTCGCCAGGTCTCTTGCCCTTGTTCTGAGGGCCGGTCACAAACTCGTCTGCCTCGTCGATCATCATGCCCTGTAAAGAAAGTGAGGAAAATGGTACATCGGAGTGTTTTTCAGTGGTTAATTTACATTTGTCAATGTAACCAATAAGAAAACGAGAAGAGTAAAAAAGAGGCTTGCCTTCTTGTCTAGTTTGAAGGGGTTGCCGAATGTGTGCAACCGTTTGGGCTGTTCGGGGTCTGCGTCTCGAAGAGGCTGGGGAGCAGCTTTAAGGAAGTCTTGGTAGTTTCCCATCTGGGCGATTGGCACGCTGTGGAGCTGGTCTGGAAGGGAAACAGATGCTTTGTCAAAAATGGAAAGAACAGCAATACATCTAACCTGCTTCTTACGCTGAAATTATGTTCACAACGTAGCATAATCACAGCCAAATAAGTGTGGGGAAAATGATTTGCACAGCGGGGTACCGGAGTCGTGGCCTCTGACAGTGCAGACGCTGGTGTTGAGAAGGTTTCTCCTCATTCGGCTGAGCTGGTCGAGCAGGTGGCTGCGGGGGATGTCGTACGGATTCCTAAAACTCTGAGGCTTCAGGCTCTGAGGATGACAGCAGACAGAAACACCGCTGTAGTTTTGACACCGGAGAGTGGATATACAGATGCATTCTGAGAGCGTGGACCATTTTTCAAAAGCCCTCAAGTGCTCAAACCAACTACATAAAAAAAACACAGCAATGCTATAAGCCTCAGGAGGGCAGCTGGGGAGAAGCCTGAAGAATCTGAGCACAGAGTGAGATTTCAAAAAGGAACTCCTCGCCAACTGAATCTAAACAGTCGCTCAACAGTAAGAACCAACGCTCATGTGTGTAATCATGTCAGAACAGCTCCCGATGATGAATGTGATCATGTTGAAGAAATGCAGATAATAATCCAACCCTACCTTGTTGAGCAGTGCCAGATGAAAGCCTTGAAACTCTTTGGGGTTAAGCTCCATGGGCAGGGCTGGGGCCTCTCCTGTGAGATTCTGTAGCTGCTGGATGAAGTCCCGACGCTGGGCTAGAGATATACTTCCGCCTCGCCATCGCACCTTGAGGCCAGGCTCCGGTGGCTGCTTTTTCCCAATCAAAGCGATCAGACGGTCATACTCGATTTTTGTCTGAAAATATGAGGAAATTAGGTTTTCTGGTCAGAAATGCCTTCCTATTTGGTGTCTTGATTATTGTAGCAGGAAAAAAGGAAATGCAGGAACTTCATAAGC